CCCTTCCGTCGCGGCAGCTGCATTGATATCAGGCTCGACGTCTCAGTCGGGATCTCGTCTTCGCAGTCCGTCAAGTCTCGCACACACTCACACTCGGATGCTTGGACTTGGGGACCAGCGGATTTGGACTCGTCCTTGCCTCCTACCGCCAGGTCTATGCTGTACACCCTATTCGGCAGCAATCCGTACACAACGATGACAGCCTCCTCGCTGCCTCTATCCGCTAGAACGACGTGAGTCCATGGCACTCCGTTAACAGAGACGCTCACTCCGCTATCGAACACTCGTCCCATCTTGGCTTCCTCGATGTTGCTGGCCGGGCTGGATAGCACCATGTTTGCCAAACTGCCATCACCATGACCCGCCGTTTCTGAAGTTTCTGAATCGGATCCGGTGGCGCGCTGATCGGAATGGTTGGCTGGTCTCCTCTTGCGCGCCCGCCCCTGGGGCCGTGTAGATACACGTGGCTGTTCGGGCTTAGCGCTGCCGCTTAGAGCATCATCGGCGTCGCCTCTATCGGAATCTACGTCCACAGCCGTAGCACCGTCATCGGGCCAATTGTCTGCATCGTCGACCTCATCCTGAGGCTGACTGGCCTGAGCCGATGCTAATCGAGCCGCGGTGCTGGGACTGGAAGTTCTTAGCCTCAACCTCGCAGGACCTGTCCTCCTGCGCATTGGTGGACTGGTGCTGATCGTCGATGTAGTCACAGCCGTTGTCGTGGAAGACGTGGAAGCAGGGTTCGCGGTGTTGACGACATTGCCGGTTCTAGGTCCGGCATCGGCCATTGAACCTTCCAAAGCTGCGCTGTTGCTGTTGCTGCCGCCAGCTAGCGGCCTGGAGCGAGAATTGGAAAAAGCGGCAGAGATGGGTGGAGGTCGAAGGGACCAGAGCAGAGAGATGGAAACGGGTGTGACATCCCTGACTTCGAGCCTGAAAGGATGTTGTGAGTGTGAGGAGAGCGAGGAGCGCAATTCACTTTGGCCGGGCTGCGGTGTCGCTGCAGCATGAGCCTGCAGAGGCTTGACGCTGCTGGAGGTGGTCATGGCCCTTCCCTTTTCTGTCTTCTTGCCCCTACCTCCTGGCTCTGGACGAATGGAGGTGTAGCGAATGGCGCTGTCCGGGCTTGCCCGATGCTTTGTCCCGGTGAAGAGCAGCCAGAGCAGAGGCAAGCAGTGGGCGGCGCGAGGGGAGGAGTCGGTTGCGAAGGCGCTTTTAGGTCTTGCCTTGACGTTGCACTGATTTGCTGGCAGGCATGACATGTGAAAGTGAAGGAGCAAGATGGACCATCGTGTGTCGCAGCGTCAAGAGCTGAAGAGGCGCACGCAAGCGAGCTTCACTTTGGACTCCACTCTTGATTCTTGACTCTTTACTCAAGGCTCGTGACCTTTGTTTTTGTTTGTCGTTGCATTTTGAATGTGAGTCTTGAACGGGAGCTGACCATTCATAATCAAGAATCTAAAGTTAAAGATTGTGTGATTTGTGATTTGATTGCACGCAACTCGATTTGAATTTTTGATTCTTGATTCTTATCGCGCTTCCTGCTCTGCTGAAAGTCGAGATTTGTATTCTTGACTTGAATTGAAGATTAAAGTTTAAACAGCTGGTCAAAAGGCAAGTTTTAATCAAGAATCAAGAATCAACAATCAAGAATCGATAATCAAGAATAATCAAGAATCAAGAATTTGAATCAAACTCTTGACTTGAATCACGAATCACTGGT